CCTGCGAATTGGCTCGGAAGCTACGGGCAATACAAGGGAAATGTAAAATTCGTACAATCCTGAGGTAAAGGACAACCTTCTTCATCAGCTAGCCCACACAGCATGAAGAAGTCAACAAAATGAAGTGCTCCAGAGTTTACAGTAGAAACTGCAAGGACTGTGAACAAAAAATACATCGGAGAGACGAGAAGGACAATCAGCACAAGGGTCAAAGAACCTCAGCGACTATGCAAAAAAGTGGATATGGAAAGATCGGAGATAGCTAAACGCATCGCCATTACTTGCCAAACAATTGATTAGAATGAAACGGAAAGACTGGCCTCATATGGGGAAAACACCAGGAAACGTAAGATCAGGGAAGCTGTGGACATCCTCTTTCAAAGAAACCTGCTGAACAGGAGATTGAAGGAGGGAAGTCAGTGATAATTTCGCTTATTGCCTGAGCAAACTTGAAGATTCAACATTATATCAAAAGAAAGATGCTTTGATCCAGGACAACCGTTTGACATCAAGAAGAGACATAGCAAAGGAGCGTCGATAAGGACAAAAGGAAGTCAAGAAAATTGGATTGTAGTGAGGGGATTCAAACCTGTAATCGGCTAAAGAGTTACTCGAGAGGATCCACCTGTAGGATGTGAGATAGGAAATTAAATTCGTAAGGTATAGGTGGGCCAGTTATAGGTCACCAGTGGGCGTGCCTTAGTGAGAGGTGACTGCCGACACGCTTGACTACGGTGACACCAACATGCATAAACAACATCCTAGTACAATAGGATTAGATGAGAGTGTCAACTTGAATGATGAGTGTGCTTTTCGGAAGCCAAAATTTATTTACTTTTATGTGGGGCTAAAAGTCATAATTGCCATCTTATGAGCAGCAACCGTGGAGATTAGAGGATTTTGGAGATTTTGTCAATCACTGCGCCTATATCCATGAGATACTTAACATTTTCCTTTTGCCATATACAAACAGGTATCGTTAGCAAACAGGTTGTTGCCAAGATTTGTCGGGTTCTAATTTCCCAAACACGATGGCTTTTGATAGTCTCTTTGCTCATTTCACCAAGGACATGAGGGAACGCAGCCACGAGCACGAAATCCGAAACGTAAAGATCAGAGGGCAAAACTGTGCCAGCTTGGCTAATATGACTTCTGATAAAAATACCCTGCCATAGTTTTACATGACACCTTCTGGTTGGTTAAAAAGATGCTGCAAAGCGCGCCGCCAAGCTTCGATTGGTCGGCGTCAGATAAAAAAGGATGATTAGAAATATTATCACATGGTTTTATGTCAAAAGGTGTTAACCATGACTGAACACGTACCGTAACAAAACTACCAGCTGTAGGAAAATGTAGAAAAGTGCTAATTTCCTGCGTGAGACCATTAAATACGGGGAACAATTCAAGATCAACGGTCCGACTCATGAAATTAGCATGGATACTATGGTCATCCGGACAAATTGCGTTCATCTTAGCTGCCTCGGCAATACGACGAAGTTTTGAAAACATGGTAAATCCATGTCTCTACAGAGAAAAGTCATACCGACTAAACCGAAAATCTTTTGCCTATTGTAATGAAATAAGTAGTAAATAAGAAAAAACGTGAAGATAAGAATATTTTCAAGTAAGGCAAAAATGAAGTATGATGTAATCTGATAGTGAAAAATGTTAATAGATAAACGAGAAATTAAGATTTGCCTTAAATGAAATTTGAAAAATAAAAAACAATAAGCCTACTGCTACTAGAAACGCGATATTTCAAGACTTTTTGTGAAGTATTAATCAACTGATATCGTGAGTCAAAAAGAGAGGTATATAAAAATTTAAAATAGACTTAATTATGGTATTAAACAAAATCCTATAACTTATCCCTCTAGTTTTAGTTTTATCTATGAGTTAGATAATTTCAATGTTACAATTGAAAAAATGACAAAATTAAAGTATGATATTTATTCACTCTATATATTTTTAGATGACGAAGGATTACTAGTCGAATTTTCCCAAAATAATAAGAGTAAAGCTTACTTTTCCATTGAATTCCGCATAGCCTTGCTTTCCTAAAAGGCGGTTTCGGTCTAGCTTAGGTCTTATCAACACCCCCAACGGGAGTCGAATCATGACAGTACAGCATGTAAGCTCGACAGGTTAACCACTCCGCCAAATTGCCATGAGTACCCTTGGGTCACAAGGTTCATGCGAATTTCAAGGAAGCTTATGCGAGGTCGAAACTGCAGTCCACTTCTGTCTGGATGAGAACAACTTTTGGGAAGGCAAGGCTATGTGAAATTCATGGAAAACGTCAGCCCTTCTCATAGCATTCTGGGAATATTCATCAACCAGTACTTTTTCAGCTTAAACGAAATCGGGTGAATACATCTCATATAACTTATTTACTGGTAGTCTCGAAAATTTGCTTATAAACGAAAAACTATAGTATTTTGTAATTTAAAGGATACAAAGGAAATTATTAACCTGTTTTTATACTAAGAAGCTGACTGTATATGCGAACTAAGGTGACAAGATGACCAACCTGGAGAATTTCACGCAAGTCCTGTGGGTGCGAATGCGTCAAACTATCCGCAACAGCTGCTATGCGCTTGTACAATAAATGTAATCCAAGCAGCTCATCCCAAGATCTCCGGCTTCTTTCAGAACTCCGAGCTATTGCTTTATACACATCAACAGGCTTATCCGGCAAAATGTTGGGTAATGTTGGTGTACCAACTTTGCTTGCGTCAATACAGCCTATAGTCGATTTGCTTGCATCAGCTGGTTGAGAGCCTATTTCATCTGTATTCTTATCTTTCTCAATTTTGTTGACTTCATTAAACGTAACCTCAGTCATAACCAGAGTTTCGACGTTGGCTTTAATGTTGTTGGCTTCTTCTTTGGAGAGATGATCCAGTAGAGCATAGGGTAATCCGAAGGTGCCGAGCCAACAAGCAAGCCTAAACAACTGACTTGGCCTGAGAGCAGATAATTGGCGAGACAAGTAGGCAAGGTCGTCAAGCAGATCAGTGAACATAAAAGGGAGACGAAGGCTAAACAAATGATAAAGAGAGTATAAGTAGGGAAACAACAGCGTCACCAGGAGATAAAGTTTTAAGAAATAATAGGCAGTACGAATTGTTTTTAAGGCTGTTGATTTAATTTAAAGTGAACTGTAAGTATGACATAGCTAAGATTGAATCCTTAAACTCAGAGTGAGTTGGCAAGTTTAGTGGACTCCCCTGTTACCTGATTGTCATAAAAGGAAACAATTTACCAGGAAAAAGGCCTGTACTTTCTTGAAATTCATATATGTCCTATGGCCCAAGGGAACTCGTGGCGTAGTGATTAACGTGTCGAGATTACACGCTGCACTGTCATGGTTCGACTCCCGCTTGGGCTGTTGATAAGACCTAGGCCAGGTTGAAACTGCACTATACTCTGGATATGAACACCTTTTGAGAAGGTAAGGCTAGGAGAAATTCAATGGAAACTTCAGCTCTACACATTTCAATTGGGAAAATTCTATTACCAATACTTGGTCATCTTAAACGAAATAGGGTGAATTCATCTCATGATAATCAAATTTTTTGGCAGGCGGAACAATTGGATTCGGCGGCATAGATGAAAATGTATAGTAGGCATGCCAGGCATAATTGTTTGAATTACCAGTATGCAGTTAAATAATCGTAAGGAGCGATGTTGACTAGCGTTTGCCAACAAGAAGCCGACGAAAAAGTGGTTAGAGGTAGGTAAAGATAACAGTGTCCTTGCAGAAAAAAATGAATAAGACTTAATTAAACGGGTTCCGTTTTTAATTAGGTTTTCGTGACTGCCAATAAATCAGATCTGAGTGATGTTCGCCCTATTTCGTATGAAACGATGAAGGACTGGCAGTTGAATTTACCCCACAATGATGTGAGTAGAGCTGACGTTTCCATTGAATTTCACATAGCCTTGCCCTCCCAAAAGGTATCACTATCTAGAGTGGACTCAACTTTCGATTTGGCCTAGGTTTTATCAACACCCCCAGCTGGAGTCGGACCATGACAGATCAGCGTGTAATCTCGACATGTTAACCATTATGCCACATACAAAGAATGCCGTTGAGTTACAAGGTAAATGTGAATTCCACGGAAGGCCATTTATTTTCCCATAGCATATTCTGTGGTGGGATTACTCATTAAAAATGCATACATAAGGAGTGACAAAATTCAACTAGTAATGTTTGAAACTCGTAAGGTAACAGAAATTTTTGTAGGACCTATGCAACTATCCAGAAAACCTATCTTCCAAGGTTTTGTATTATTAATAGACCAAATTTACATAATAGAACTAAGCTATTCCTGCGAAGAGAATCTCATGATTTATTTAAAATTAGGACCCAAGAAAACATTATACAATTGCACTCCTTGATAAGGAAGAAAACCAAATTATGCCAATCATTAACGAGTAATCTTAGCTCGTAAGATTTCTCTAAATTAAAAATAATGGCGGACAGGTTGTATAATATAGTTTTTCAAAGCTTAGCTACAGCCATGATAAGAAAATTAGGAATTTGGGTATAAGAATGAGGAGAAAGGCTAATCAAAATACGTCTATTAAAGACATTATGGAGCAAAGAACAGTTAGTGAGGTGGTAAACCTCTCCAAAACACCATTGGGCGTTACTACCGAGAAAATGGTATAGAAAGGTTTGAACTTTGTATTGCTAAACAGTAAGGATAATAGGGAGGAGATTCTGTTGGAACTCATAAGTTTTCCAGACAATTTTCTCTTATTTCCAGAAATAAGAGAGTGGAAAAATCATAAGAAAGCTAAATGATAAGGATCAAATGGTGTCGAGGGCAGACAAAGGAGAAGCAGTGGTAGTTATGGATAGGTTGAACTATGTAGAAAAATGATACAGACTACCACATACAAGGTAATCAGTTGGGACCCTACAGAATCCCTTAAGTCCAGACTCAGGAATTGCCTGTGCTGTTGTGTAACAAACGGGAAACTAAAGAAGTGGAGGATGAACACGCTTCTTCAACGAGACGCTAGGACTCTGAATGCACATTATCTGCCAAAAATTCATAAAGATGGAGCTCCCCATAGAATTAATGCGAATAATAAGGGAAGCGTTATTAATAGCTTAGGAAATACATTGAATGTGAGGA